TCTTGAGGTATACTTAGGTCGGGTCAAATGATCATGTTTGGGGTCGGAGATGCATTTTTCAGGAGGGGTTATGGGTATAGTGAGAAGCCACTCGCGTTTGCCTGAAAAGTTAGGAGGAAAAATCATGTCCAATGGATGATTATAAACAAACTTCGTCATACAAATTGCGATGTTGGATAATCGTGGAGGGGGGGTAGTCTTCCATGGTCAGTCACCCGTTTGGAGGAAGAGCAGTTCAGAGGGTTACGCGAAGGACAGCCCTACGAAGGTTGAAATCAACTGGTTCAAAATCCTATATGTCTTAGGTGATAACGGTGATAACTGCACCCAAATTCACAAAATAAAAAGACAAAATGTTCAAAAGTGGTCAGACTTTGTATGTATAACCAGTAATTGTTAACCATTGCTGATATACCTTCTGGTAAATTAACATAGACCCTGAAAATAGCCAATTTATAGTGGAAACTAGTCTTCCAAACCCTATCTGCCAGGGTCTATGTTACAGTAATTTACCAGAGGGTAACCATTGCTGATGTACTCATGTTCCATCATTGTCCATCCAATTACATCCAGCTGGATGTGATTAGCTCCATCACTTCATCACTTCATCATCCAGCTGGAGACCAGCAGGCTCCGAGACCATAGTTACATAGGTTGTTCGAGTCGTTGATGTTGTTGGAGCCGAAAGCATATAACAACTCTCGGTGACATTGGTGAAGTGCATTGGCATCCATTTATCTTTGCAAAGGTGCCTCTATGAACCCTTAAGGGACAGCATTGCTCGAGCAAAAAAACTTTCTCACTGGCATATATATATATATATCTTGTAAGCTCACCCATATTATATAATATTATATATTACATAGTGTGTGTGTTAGTAAATGAGGCATGCTCGTATCGTAGTATATATCTGGTGAGCTTACATTATCTATTTATATACACGGTACAAAATATGTACAGGGCGAATGGTTTTATGCCACGGCAACTGGTGAACATGAAAGCCCCATGGAATGCAGATGTTTCGACATCCAACTTTGTTTCCAATAAATGTCTAATTTTGAATTGGTTCGGGTCTATTTAATTATCCACGTATCCTATATTCCCCTTATAATATAGACAATCAATTTTGGGGGTTATATAATAGGATTATTCGAAACCGAAAGAAACACAATTGCCTGCTCGGAAAAGGTGTTTTTTCCCCCAAGTTGCCCTTTGGGCAACACATGAACATCCATCCTCACAGCTGTCTTTGTACAGCCGGGAGCCTCAGCGGACATCCTCTTCGACACCGCCCGAGTTACAGATGGTTTCCCAATGAAACCCCAAAAAAAGGCAGAATCGCTGGAAAAACCTTGGTAATATACTACACTGTGAACCCGAAGGGCACATGGCTGCCAAATCGGTGATCTTGCCAAGCATTGTTTCTTCCGATAGGGTTTTGTGTTGACGGCAATTCTCGTCACTAACTCGAAGATCCATCACCATATGGTCTAGAGCATGCCTGCAGTGCATGGTGGTCCAAAAAAATGTTTTCCACAATGTTTTCGTTGTCAAACTCTCAAACCCTAGTGGTTCAAAAACTGTGGTTTCAAGAAAAACAAATTCAACTCAGCTGGGTGGTGTTCAAACTCCCAAACCTTGTGGTTCAAAAACTTTGCTTTCCAAACAGATTCCCAAATCTAAATTAGTTGGCTAGTTTGATGGCTTTTAAATCACCAAAGCGCAAAAAATGAACATGTTTGAACTTAAATTTCAAGCTACCATTTCGGTCTCAATTTGTAGTTCAGCCGCTGGTTTTGCAGATTAACACCTGCAAGCCTTGAGTACGCATCCAAGCACGTTGTCCCACCTTTGACAGCCCGCTCTCGCAAGACCTCTCCCAAACGCAAAGCTGGTCGGTCAGTCGCAAATAGGAACTCGCAAATCCCCCAAGCAGCCGCGAAGCGTAGAGAACATTCTCTGCCTTGGTGGGAGTTTGGGGATACAGTTTTGCAACGTACACATGCTCTTAAAAAAACTGTCGTGTTGTTGACTGTGGTGTGTACTTTCTTTTTTTGCCATAAACAACTTACCAAAATAAATCAAGACACACTGGCATAGAGTGGACACCTCTTTGGCCACTTCACAGATGAAGAACAGAATTGGTTTTGTATGGGCAGCTTTGACGTTGCTATCCAACTCAGGGTAATTCTTCTTGTCATTGTCACCCCTCCCCAAAAGGTGCAGGTTCCAAGTGCAAGGGGGAATCTCAATCTTTGCTACCTGTCGACACCATCTTCGAAAGGAAGAACCCAATTTTTGCAAGAGTAGGTTTCCATGATCACCAGGGTTCACAGCAACATTTTGCAGCGCGTTCTGCAATTGTGGGATCAAAGATTTTGCATGCGCATCAGTTGCCTCAATTGGAGGCAGGGACAAATATATGGGATGACTGCAATGCCAAAACTGTTGTATGAAAATAAACCGTATGTATTATAGCCTGTGGCAAACACATACATACTGGAAATACACTTCTATATCCTTTATTGGCTGTTTGTCTTATGCATATGTAAACAGTTCAACAACTCGTATAATTTATAGATGTTTGGTACTTATACTGTCAAACATCTCTGAATATAATACAATACATGTATTCCCAAATTTTCGCAGTAAGGGTGTCTTTTGGGGAAATCAATTTGGCTATGCTCTATAAACCAGGGGTCCATTTACAATGTCATTTGAACATATTTGAAAATTATTCCCTGTTGCATTGAGGGTCGAATATTATTTCACCGAAAAAGTTGTTCATAACAACCAAAGATCAAAATCATAGAGGATGCTGGCTGCCAGGTCCTTTCCTGTACCCAAAAGGATTGTATGGGCCGAATCCCATCTCACTCTTCCAATGACAAAGCCTGGAATGTTAACCCATGGGGTTCGTTGAGCTACCGGTGTTGTGTTCAAATAATCTTGATGGCTCCGCATAGTGGATCTCCAAGGGGCAGTCTGACTAAAGTCAGTGAACACCATAGGCAACAAATGCTCGGGTGTTTTGGGGAAAGGTTTGGTGGCATCACATTGATCACAGACTCGCATGCTTTGATAATTCCTGCCAGCAAATGCATGTGATAGGGAACGTTCTTTCCAATCCCCCGTCCAGCTGTCAAACCCTCCTCGCCATTCTCCGCAGATAGGCTCTCCAGCCCTCATAGCCCTCTTGCCAACCAGTGGATTACCATATTGGTCTTCACTTGGGAATTTCCCATCCAAGATGACTTTGCCTTACTTGGATAACAAATCAAATACTGAAATGAAACTATATTCATATATTATATGATCGTATAGTTGTAGGTGGTTTATAGCCCCAAGGTTATCCACCAACTAACACGAAACAAATACCAAACACCCATAAACATATATTCCCATATGTTCTCTTTGAAAAGGTGGTCACAAACCCCAAAAGACATCCAAATTCAGTTTGGAAGACAAGGTGCTATCCCATGCAATGGCCTCTGTGATGGCAATGTTTGCTTTAGCCCTTAAAGCTTTGGTTGGGAGCAGCCGTGCTGGAATAGCTGCAAAAACAAATTTTGTGGCCCAAGTCGTTTTTGCCATCACAGATGACCACATCCATACAATCAGCTCATGGTTGTTGTGAAATTCACATCCATCCACGAACCATTTTACCTTGGTGTTAAATTTTGCTTTTGGTTTAGACCCCAATTCAAATAGATTTAAAGCAAAGTAAACCCACTATTCCATTTTTAGATATAACATGATGCAGCAGGATCAAATTCTATTAAGATAGGGTTTCTCCCAGGTATGGGTCAACCGAAATAAAATCATTCGGCTCATCCCTCCGAGGCACAGGGAATGTCGAATCCTGAAGGTTCTGCCTGCAGAGGCAGGAAAGTGGGTTGGCCACGCAATGGGAATAGTAGTTTGGAGTTTTCATGGCATAGGGGAAAGGTATTGAACAAATAGAAAATGCAGACAAAGGGCTGCACAACGGGATGTTCACTGGCCCATTCATCAGCAGCAAGGTCCCAATAGAGTTTGCATTTTTCCGGTGTAGCGCCAATAATGTTATCCCAGAGTACACCACTTTGTTTTCGCCAAATGGCATGAAGAACATCAGAGGCAAGCAGAATGGGGATAGAGCGTTGTTGGACTTCTGCAGTATCTGGATCATACACTTCAATGACTGTTGTAAACCGTTCCAACTGAGAGTCAAAGGCATGGGGAATCCACCGATGCAAGTCACGTTCTGCATTTTGCATATGCCGACCCCAGCATGCTAAACTTGCAATATCCCGTATTGTATCTTCCTCTAGCCCATCTCGGAAAGCTGCATGGGCATATCGCTGAGCAGTTGATACATGGATTTCCTTGTTGTGTATAACTGATACCCTGGACCAAGTTTGAATGGAACTACCTCCCAAAAAAAAACAACATGGTTAAAAGTCAAAACATTCATTTACTTACCCCCGGCAAGTTTCTCCGCGTGAGACATCCCACAAGAGCTCCCGAGCTAGCTTTCCGCCAGGTTCAAAAGTCTTCTGTCGCCGTGGCGGAGGACCATGAGCACCTGGCAGATCGGTTTGGTGGTGGTTCAATGTTGGGATGATTCCTCAAAATCTTTATATGCCTATGTATATGTCTGAACCCTCCACTCAGACATCAACTTACATTTTATTGGACCCATAGTTTCAACTACAAACACTAATAATGGAAATTGCTCAGCAAGTGGGATTGCGGCCTCATGATATGCATTGATTTCTTTTTCTTCGCAAGCCGATGTTGTCACCCCGATGCCGATATGGCACTGATGATTGTGCCAAGGCCATTTCAATACGCCAAGGTCCCCAGGGTAGGCACCGATGAAACAAAAAAGCAAACATATATACAGATCATATACAGTACAAAACCATTTCCTGTCACTTGAAAAGTATAAAGGTGTTAGTTAGAAATTCAATAGTGGGGTACTTCAAAATTGAGGACCGTTTGGTGTCATCCCTAGCTTACTGGGTTCCACTGGAGCTGGCAGAAGCAGATGTTGCTGCCATGCGCATTGAATTTGCAACCTTCTTACGGGCCTTAAACCATGTGGTAAGGCCTCCAGCCTGTTCAAAAAGCTCATTGTAGGTGGCCTCATCATCCACCCCCTGTGCCACAAGATGGGAAAGCTTCCGGTACATCTCTGTTTGGTTGTTGGCATGCAAAGTCAGGGCTTTGCAAAGCTCACCACTGCACTCAAGCCCTTCAATGCTGACATTGAGGGTTCGGGCTTCTTCTGCTTCCTTCAGCCTGAATTTAAGAGAGGCTGAGAGGCACCCCAGGAATCATGTCATAATTTCAGGAATCATTTAGCTTCATTTAGACTATGTTGATTTTGGTGTTAATCCCAAAACTTAAATCAAAAACCGTATTAGCGAGAATCCAGTAACACAGCTTTTGCCAATGCTTTGGCTTTCATCAAAGGTGTTGTCACTGCTTCGGGAGCTGTGTCACCATTCTCACTGTTTCCAGGGTTGGTGTCACCATCACCCTTCCCTTCCCCTTCCGAGCCCCACGTTTGCCCTTGTTGCCACCCTTGCCGCTGCCACCCTTGCTATTGACCGAGCCCGCAGGAACAGCGACATCTTCGATCGCAGACACATCAGCGAAAGACGGAGCCGCGCCCACAGTGAAATCAGATCCTCACAGGGAGACACAATTGGTAATATATATAAATATATGTATATATATATACGTATATATATATATATATGTATATATATATATGTATATATATATACAAATATATATATGTATATATATATATATATATGTATATATATATATGTATATATATATATATGTGTATATATATATATATGTGTATATATATATGTATATATATATATATGTATATGTATATATATATGTGTGTATATATATGTATATACATATATAAATATGAATATATACTTAAGGGTTATAGTTCCATATGCTATCATATGATGTACCCATTACCTATTTTTCTGAAGGGTTGTGTTCAGCACTATAGAGTCCTTCAGAAACAAAGCCAACGCCCTCAGTCCGTGAGATGGCACCAGTGTTAGAAAGGGCCTGGCGATCTTCTTGGGATCGTTGATGGGTCTGGCTCACTTCGTCAACCACTAAGTACCTGCGCAGGTGAGCAACACCAGGGAAGTTGGGGTCGTCTATGAACCTACCCTCACGGGTAAGTCGTTCCACCAACTGATCCACTTCTTGGGAAGAGTATCGTCCTGAATTTTCGATTTGCTGCCTGGACCATGAGACTGTCGTGGATTGAGCACTTCTTTGTTGAATGTTGGTGCGGCTGGTCTCCAAAGCACATTGCCCGAAATCATGAGCATGCACCAACCACATGTTGAACAAGTCCTTCCGTTTGTTTCGATCTTCGAACATGGCCCGCACACTGGGCTCCATCTGGTCCCTCAGTTGCTATCAGGTTTTGAATTGTTGATAAATACATTGATTGATACAAATAAAAAAGTAAAGATGTGGTCACATCAGCAAATATATGTTATGAATTCATTCTAGCTACGGATGGTTGGCAGCACGGAGAAAAGCCATGTATTCCTTCCTGTGACTTGTGGACGTAGCAGGAGTTTGCCTAGCTTTTGCTGCTGCTGCCGTTGCTGCTGTGCTTGCAGCTGTTTGCTGCACAACGGCAACCAAGTCTTGAGGTGTCTGGGCTAGCTGCGCCTGAGTCTGATCAACTGCTGTGGTGGGTGCTGGTTGCCCTTGTGAACCAGACTGTGCAGGCTGTGCAGGTGTCAGTGCAGGCTGTGTCACCAAGGGCTGCACTGTGGGCACTGGTACTTGTGCTCCAGGCTGAACTTGCCCAGGCTGTGCAGGTTGTGCAGGCATCGATGCAGGCTGTGTCACCACAGGCTGCACGGTGGGTGCTGCTGGTACTTGATGATCTCCAGGATGAACTTGTCCATGTTGACCAGGTTGAAGTGACACTCCAAGACCCTGAGGATGAACTTGTCCTTGTGCAGGCACATGTGTCCGAGGCTGTGTCACCACAGGCTGCACTGCAGGTGCTGGTACTTGCTGATCTCCAGGATGAACTTGTCCAGGTTGACCAAGACCTTGAAGATGAACTTGACCTTGTCCAGGCGCAGGTGTCGGAGGCTGTGCCACCACAGGCTGCACTGCGGGTGCTGGTAATTGCTGATCTCCAGGATGAACTTGTCCTTGTCCATGCGCAGGTGCCGGAGGCTGTGCTACCACAGGCTGCACTGGTTCTCCTTGAGGATGAACTTGCCCTGCGGGTGCTGGTACTTGCTGATCTCCAGGCTGAACTTGACCAGGTTGAAGTGGTACTCCAAGACCTTGAGGATGAACTTGTCCTTGTCCAGGCGCAGGTGTCGAAGGCTGTGCTACCACAGGCTGCACTGGTTCTCCTTGAGGATGAACTTGCCCTGTGGGTACTTGCTGATCTCCAGGCTGAACTTGACCAGGTTGAAGTGGTACTCCAAGACCTTGAGGATGAACTTGTCCTTGTCCATGCGCAGGTGCCTGAGGCTGTGTCACCACAGGCTGCACTGGTTCTCCTTGAGGATGAACTTGCCCTGTGTGTGCTGGTACCTGTTGATCTCCAGGCTGAACTTGACCAGGTTGAAGTGGCACTCCAAGACCTTGAGGATGAACTTGTCCTTGTCCATGCGCAGGTGCCGGAGCCTGTGCTACCACAGGCTGCACTGGTTCTCCTTGAGGATGAACTTGCCCCGCGGGTGCTGGTACTTGCTGATCTCCAGGCTGAACTTGACCAGGTTGAAGTGGTACTCCAAGACCTTGAGGATGCACTTGTCCTTGTCCATGCGCAGGTGCCGGAGGCTGTGCTACCACAGGCTGCACTGGTTCTCCTTGAGGATGAACTTGCCCTGCGGGTGCTGGTACTTGCTGATCTCCAGGCTGAACTTGACCAGGTTGAAGTGGTACTCCAAGACCTTGAGGATGAACTTGTCCTTGTCCAGGCGCAGGTGTCGAAGGCTGTGCTACCACAGGCTGCACTGGTACTCCTTGAGGATGAACTTGCCCTGTGGGTACTTGCTGATCTCCAGGCTGAACTTGACCAGGTTGAAGTGGTACTCCAAGACCTTGAGGATGCACTTGTCCTTGTCCATGAGGCGCAGGTGTCGGAGGCTGTGCCACCACAGGCTGCATTGGTACTCCTTGAGGATGAGCATGAGGCACAGGTGTCGCCAGAGACTGCCCTGCAGGTGCCGGTTGACCCTGCCCTTCTGCCATCAGGGTTTCACCATGCTGCTTGCGCAGCGATAACATCTCCATCTCGTGTTCAATTTGGCTCTCCAGCTTGGCCAAAGCCTCATCAGAGATCTCATCACCATCGATGTCACCTGGTGTCTCAGTTGGTACAGTTGACGCCGTAGATGATAGACCAGCTGAAGTTGAGATATCAACCTAAGAGAGCCAGGGTGGCATTGGTTGTGTTGGGGTACATCCATATATCCCAACATCTAAAATGAGTTTACAAAGTTGGAAATAACGACTTCAACAAATTCAACGAATAAGCAGCTGCCATCTCATCCCACTCAATACCATTGAGTTCGGCAGCCAACTTGAATTTCTCAAGTAGATCACTCTTAGACATCTTGGCATTCTTCACTGGCACTGATGGGGACGATGCAAGTTTCTGAGAACAGGGATGTTCTTTGACATATGTCAAAGGGTTGAAAAACCGTTTGATGTTCTCTTTGGTGGTGATCATATCATGACGCGGGGGTTGCACCACTGGAGAAACGGTTTTTTTCTCCCTTCTGTATGTCAAAGGATTGAAAACATTCAGGATGTTCTCTTTGGTGGTGACCATTTGATGACAAGTGGTTTCCATCAAACCAGCCTGTGGACGAGCACAACCAGGTAGAGGGGGTCCAGAAGACCCAAGAGACATGGCAAAAACGTGGCCACTAAAGACCAATTGCCCTTCCAATTGATCCAAAAACCACTTAAATCACCACAACATGCTGAAAGTGTGAAAGTGTGAATATTCACGAGTTATCACGGCCTTTTCACGGAGTTTTCACGGGCGTTCGTTTTTTCAAGTTTTTCAAGAATTTTTGAAATTATCATAATGCATAAAACATAAAACAAAACCTGCAAAAACTGATCCAGACTATAATTTTTTGAATACCCCCTTTTGAAACTGCAGTCCAACTGCAGTAAAAACAAAATAAAAACTGCAGTAAACAAACACCTTTTGAAACTGCGTCCAACTGCAGTAAGATCCAACTGCAATACAAAAAACAAACTGTTGAAACTTTGAAACTGCAGTCCAACTGCAGTAAAACCCTGTTGAAACTGCAGTCCAACTGCAGTAAAAAAAACCCTGTTGAAACTGCAGTCCAACTGCAGTAAAACCCGTTTGAAACTGCAGTCCAACTGCAGTAAAAAAAACATGTTGAAACTGCAGTCCAACTGCAGTAAGAAACAATGAAACTGCAGTCCAACTGCAATACAAAAAACCCTGTTTGAAACTGCAGTCCAACTGCAGTACAAAAAAAACCTGTTGAAACCGCATGGCAGTAAAACCCGTTTGAAACTGCAGTCCAACTGCAGTACAAAAAAAACCTGTTGAAACTGCAGTCCAACTGCAGTAAGAAACAATGAAACTGCAGTCCAACTGCAATACAAAAAAACCCTGTTGAAACTGCAGTCCAACTGCAGTACAAAAAAAAACTGTTGAAACGGCAGTCCAACTACAGTAAAACCCCTTTTGAAACTGCAGTCCAACTGCAATAAGAAAAACCCGTTGAACTGCAGTCCAACTGCAGTAAGAAAAACCCTTTTTGAAACGGCAGTCCAACTACAGTCCAAACATGCCCTGTGTGAAATGTGCCCCCTAATCAAACCACATACCATTGGCACCTGCATCGTCATTGTTCGCAAGAACCAGGCATCTCTTCATCTCTGCTGCAGTACCTGCCAGCACCAAGGGATCCCAATGTGACCAAAGGTGCCTATAGAGATTCTGAAACCCGTCAACGAAGGACAAAAAGGTAAATGGTATCAACATCTCTGGACAAGAAGGTAAATGGTATCATTTGAAATGCATATTTTCTTTTGAAATAACTAGTTCCTTATCCATTGGATATACCATCAGACAAGGGAAACACCGCTCATATAACCCATTGATAATAGGTTGAGATCCCCAAATAATTTCACCATTCATATAACCAATTGATAATAGTTTGAGATCCCCATAAAAACACACATGACCCATTGATAATAGTTTGAGATCACCATTTCTGTAACACATCCATCCACAGACTTTTTTTGGCGGCGCAACATGTCAGCATCTTAATTGCAAAGTTTAAGTTACAAATTGTATTGGCACCAGTAGCTTTCCTACTTCAGGGTACCAAGTGAAAGAAATTGCATGACGTCTGACAAGTTGGCATCTGCCCACTTGTCCATGTTCCCTTTCCAAAAGCTAGGGATCTTCTTGGTGCTGGCCTTTTCATAATTAGTCGAAAATGTTCTGCAAGGCGTGTTCAGCCAGACACATACGGTCGCCTTTCCAAATTGTTTTGGATAGGCTTGGCTCTGTTTCAGAGCTCCATTTCCCGTAACTTGCACACTGCCATCTGGCAAAACCTTTTTGGCAACAAGTTGGTGGTCCCATTCTTTCTGGGGCAAAGGTAATGAAAATTTAGAGACCTGCTCGCATGGAGCCCAAAGGTGTGTCCCCTTCGGTGATAAACCTCCATAGCTTCCCATCCACATATGTGTTTTGTACACAATGTTTGACTTCAAAAAACTCTGCATTCGGGGGTGCTCCCAGAGCAAGCTGGTTTGGGGTTGCTCATAGAGCCAAAAACTTTTCTTCGCTTCTAGCACCCACAATATGAGCGCCATTCGGCTCACCATCTCCTTAGGAGATTCGTAAATGAAGATACACTGCCAAAAAATGACACTTTCAAGATGTGTGGCGCCAAGCTCTTCACCAACATGATCAATATACTTTCACAATGTATGATTCTGATACCACTTTTGTTTCCGCATGCATGTGGTGCAGCCGTGGCACGTTTCCAGCGGCAACACTCTTGACCGAGATATCACCAAGTGGTGACCAAATGCTTCGACGGGACCTATAGGGCCAGCTGGAAAGGGTATCCATAGTGGACCTAATATACAAGACCATAAAAAATAGCACCAGTGCTATACAGCCTTCAAGTAATCTTCAAGTCGTAATTTGGTCACCCAGGAACGTAGCTCTGTTGACAAACACCCAAGTGCTGCAAACAGTTGCGATCATAGCGAAGCCACCATCCTTTAGCATGATGCTCATCAGGAGCGCCAAAACAAACCTCAGAATTTTGGGCGAGGTTTATATATATATATATAAAGATAGATAGACATTATGTCAACATACATACATATATACATATGAATAAGTATCTTATAATAAACATATGACATTATATGTGTATATATAACAGATAAATATCACCAAGGATCGTACATATACATAGACATTTTATATGTGTATATAAAACATTTAAATATACCCAAGGTGCCCTTTGGTAGATAGGATGTCTGCCAAAGGGTTGAGACGAATCTCAAAGGGGCACGCTGCGAATCCATGCTCTGCCCAGGCTGTGGTGACCTCAGCCAAAGAGCAACTGATCGAGGCCATTGCATGGTGTGGTGGTGGCATCATATTAGGAATCTAATAACAAAACCAAACTATTCAATCTAATTGGGTTTAAGGGTCTGCCTGTTCACCAGCAAAGTACTCGACGCAATTCAGAGATTCCTCAATGGGCCCCATCCCAAGGAAGATAAAGGTCATGAGCTGGAACAAGATAGTAGGGGCACCCACTGCACCCAGCTTTGCAAGAAGCCCATGCAACTCAGGGTTGCGCACGGGTCAAAAGTATTTAACAGAATGTGATATATGCTCATACATATATATATATATATATATTGTATGGATATGTATCAAAATGAGGCGTTTTTTAAACACTACCTAATGCATAGGATATATCTACCTACCTATCTATATGTATATTGAAAAAAAACACTGTGTTGTCACATCGCACCCCACCTGCTTCTTGGTTTCATCTGCTGTGCTAGACCACTTGCTTAGGGACCGACAAAGGGGGGTGGAAACTGATTCACCCACATCCTTTGGCTTGCGGCGGCTGAGAGGCAAGCTGCGCTTCATCTTCCTCTGAGCCTTGAGGTTCGCCTGCTTTCCCTTTTTGGAGACTTTCCGGTGGTAAAGGGCCATGGCAACTTTCAGCAATATGTCTGTTTTGATCCCAAAGTTACTAGAAGAATGCATCTCCAAATTGTTTGTTTCAGTATGAAATGGTTGGTAGATGCAACAAATGAAGCACACTGGTATGCACTGATATACATGCAATGGTATGCTATTTTCTGCAACAACATATATATATATATATTGCAATCACTAACCATGAGATAGATGGATATTATATATATATATACATACAGGCCAGCACCTATTTTTTCGATGTGTCGATCTGCAACCCCGTCCACGTGGCATAGTGTCATGACCATTGCATGATTGCCACATGTTCTTCTTCTACCCCAAGATTCTCGATACACTCTTGTTCAAGATTTCCCACCACACAGTTGTCTAGCGTGGTCAAAGGGACTGATCATAGATGTGTCATTAAAATAATTGCAAAATGCAGAGCCTGCAAAGTTTCATCTTAGCTGCGCCAACCACACGCCACCTTGGTTTCCTGCCATGCCGCAGCAATGTCATCATTCCAGGAACGCTGCTTGACGATTGGGGGCGTCAAAGGCGCTCCTTAGTTGACGACAAGGCACACGAGATCCACGCTGTACAAGTTTATCTGGCAATTTTCCATTTGGGTTGGAATCTTAGCAACTTTATCTGAGTTTATCAAACCTGTTTCTACTGGATTACTAGCATCAACAAAAAGAAATATTGTTGGCAAAGGCTCCATTGTGGTCAACGACTGAAATCTTGACAACATGAAATGCTTTGTGCTTGAGAAGGACTTCCACTTTGGCTGCAGTCTTCGAGTTCTGAATCGTGTATGATAACTTGCCACGCTTCTCAGGTGGCATGCATTCTTCTGGCATACCTACCGGGGTATACATAGTTGGTGTAAGTATCATAATCGGCTTTGAACATGAGCGTGTTTTCCCCTATACAATGAAAACAAACCAAAAGGTCAGTTGGGTGAACCCAAGCCTTCAGGAACTGGCAGCATGTCACCCGCTGCCAGAGGTGCGGCGTCCTTCTTCGCATCGGTCTTGGCCTTCTTGGTAGCCGGCGGGTCCTTGACTGCTCCCGCAGCTCGCTTGGGCCGCTGGGCCTCCTTAGCAGAATTATTTCAGAGAGGGACCTTTTCAAAACAGCTGGTTCCCCAAATCACGACAAAAAGGCTGCGATCAAATGGTGATGAACTCTGAAATCATGATGGGTATTGTACAAGTAAACAATCTTAGCTAACTTGGTTTTCTTGTCAGGGCTCAACAAGCTTCAGTTGGTCGAGGGGATTTACCACGGCTGGTGGGCATGACATAGATCCCTCAGGGCCATGTGGTGGCTGTAAGGGTTCTGATGTCATAGGTCGATCAAGGGCCGGGGCCTTCGTCCTGTAGCGACGCCTCGGAGGCTCCATACCTGACATGTCATGTACCCCAAGATAAGAAATGGACTGTAGCAACATAGAACAATTATCACTCCAAAACTTGTTTGCAAACCCTTGGTGTGTAAAAGGTAACCATTCTCCATGATAGGCCAGCATTCCATGAGGAATTAAATCCCATGAGTTGTAAAATCATGGAACAATAAATGACACATTTCCAAAATGCGGCAACCACCAAAGAGTTAAATTCTGATGAATATAGTTCAAGAAGCTAGCACCAGTTTGAGACTCTTTCACATGATCGGTATCCACCACGGGGGGATGCACAACCTCCTCCACTGGCCCTTCTAAGGTTGGATCCACACACACCATTGCCATTGGTGGGGAAACCAAACTTGTTGGTTGGACATGATCCACCACATGTGCTGGTGGCTCCACGACTTGCAGTGTAGATTCAACCACATCACCACCTTCCATCTCATCACAGTCATGCACTGGTTCAGCTTGCCCAACATCTTCTTCCAAGACATGCGCATAGACTTCCCGAGGGAAACGCGCCTGCAGATAGCGGTGTTTATACACTGCACTATCTATTTTTATATAAATAAAAACATATCATCCATCCATCCATCCATCATCATCCATCCATCCATCCTTCCATCCATCCATCCATTCATACACCCCTCCATACATCGTTCATCCAGAAGTACACCCATCCATACATCCAGTATTGCCATATGTATTTGTTCCTTATGCGTTATGTTTTGAAACTGTTCACCATATGTTGAAATGTTTACATATACAGACAGAACCAGCTTATATATATATATATACAGCCCAATGGTGATGTGCGATTAGTTCAAGCTTGTAGCAACGAATGATTCGAATGATTTGTGAACAAGACACATTTGGTGCCTTGTCCATTGTAAATAGAAATGAACAAAATGTGAAACAGTTTTCAGGCCATGCCTCAACTCGTTCCAACAGGTCTTGGCTACAGGCAGTGCAAGGATCCAGCCTTGGTTGCAACTTCATAGCTATATATGTATAGGTATATTTATAGATAGATAGATAGATAGACAGATAGATAGATAAATAGATAGAAGGATAGATAGAGAAACATACAAGTAGATAGATAGATAGATATAGATAGATATAGATAGATATAGATATAGATACAACTACAAATACAGATAGAGATAGATAGATATATAGAAAGATAGATGGATAGATAGATAGATAGATAGATGGAAGGATAGATAGAGAAACATACAAGTAGATAGATAGATAGATAGATATCGATAGATACAGATAGATACAAATAGATAGATACACATAGATACAGACAGATGCAGATAGATGCGGAGAAATACATAGACATATATATATATATATATATATACAGATAGAAAGATAGAAAGATAGAAAAATAGATAGATAGACAGCCACCATGTTGCCAAGAAACCCAAGCAGCATCAAGGTTCGGTCAATGACATCGAGAGAAGCTGTCGCAGTGCAAAGCCTCAGAACACCGCTGGGCGTGGAAGGAGAACGGCCAATTCTTTTTGCAATGGCTGGGAAACTTGACACCATTTCAAAATCCACAAGCACAAAATAACATAATAGAATCACTGTTAGTCCAGTAACGGTTCCACATTTTCAGCTGGACTGTTCTCACTTCCAGTCTTGTCTGTGTACAAAGACTGACCATCCAACCCAATTGTAGTAGCCGTTGAAGATGTCGGTGACATTGGGGATGCAACTGGTGTACTGCCCTGACTCCCACTGGATCGCCGTTTGGGTTTGTGCTTTGAAGATGCAAGCTCTTTGAGATAGGTGATCTCGGCATGCCTTCCCTTATCATGCCTCCCTGACGAGTTGCGAATGTAGCTCAAAAGTAACTTGAGATTGGTTCCATCTTTCAAGGCATTGTCTCTACGGGTATTCTCCTTCATAGGATTGGCACTTGGTTTTCCCAGGATGGTATGACCAAGCATTTCATCAAGATGCAACACTGCATCACCCAACAAATACCCTGATGGGTCATGCTCTGCAGGGTATGCATGCAGCAACGCCTCACAAATCTTTGCGTGGGTTAAAGCATCCTGGACACATGGTTTCCCTGGAGTTGTGAGATGAATCATCCGACCATTTCCTGCAATTTTAGTGGGGTCCATGTGGTGGCACAAGCTCTTAGCTATGTCACTAGCTATAGTCTTTCCACTCCACCAAGACTTCCAAGATGCCAACGATTTAAAGGGCAACCCTGTAGCCACAGCCATGGCCCAATCAATCCTAGATCACCTGTTTTCAAGCCAAATGCTGCCGGCTTCCAAGGTGAAACCCACGAGTGGAACGCTGGGTGATGGAACGGGTGGATTGGCCGACTGCCCTACGAAAAAATAAATAAATAAATATAGAATATTATGTTATGTTACAATATATGTATGTTTTATTTCATTACAGTATATATATATATAGTATAATTTGTATGTTGTATTGTATTAAATTGTATATGGTAAATAAATACAATGTTATACTATGTTATCGCAAATTATATATATACACTGGATATTGTATATAAAATAGGTGGACTTTCCTGTGGATTGGTTGATCCACCAGGAATGATATTGGGATATATTTGCATCACCTGTGGACACCCAAAAAATAAATAATGTCTTGTGATGTACTGGGAATATGTTGATTCGGGGCTGTACTTTGTAGCGAAATACAAGTTAAATGGATATATATATATATATATATAAATGGGTTTATCACTGTTGTAGGAGATATCGGAAGGAACCCTGTTTGATATCGATTTCTAAACGTTCAAACATTCCAAAAAGATAGCCCTGATGGCAAAACAATATCCCAAATGGAAAGCAACATGTTTGTACACATTGACCTCTTGAAATTCCACATATTCTCAGACATAGTATATATATATATATATTGCTGGTCCCGGTGGTAGCCACACAGCATGCCCATCCCAATGGGCACCTCGCCATTTTCATGGAGGCACAGCCCAAATTAGAAGCGGCCGCTTGCATGTAGCGCATAAGTCGAATGCTGGAAGTGAGCATGCAAGGTATACGGAAGACATATATACAGGTATTAAACTCATATATTGCACATGCCAGTGAGAAAGGATCTCCGCAAGGTCTACTTGGTTTATGCTAACAACTTTGCTTCCTATAAACGCTGACAGAATCTGCCTGGATCAGAAGCCGCCGGACGAAGCAGCGAATGTAGGTGCCATGCACTGTTTAAACCTTTTGCTAAATGGATTTTGTTCACCTTCCAGTTGTTTAAAAAAACAATCATCAAAACAAACGTTGTGAGTCATTGGGCTATACAGTGATACCGTTACAACTGGAAACAAGCACATCAAGACCTTGCTCGCTTATTGGTAGTGGAGCCTAGTGGATTGTATATATATATATATGCCCTCCAAGGGGGCTTATACCCCAATTCTCACACATGTAGCGTGTGATTGTTGATAAAAAACAACAGAAAGAAGGGACACACTAGCACATGTGTAAGCACATGTATATACAACAGTTATTGATAACAACTGTATGTATTCATACAGTGTTTTTTGCTCAGTTGGCATCGCTGCCCCGAAAGGTCTCTGAGCATATCTACATGCTTGCTAAAGGCAATGTTTAACACACATAGATACATTGATCTTGCGGGTCTTGTACATCTTGGACACAGAAGGAAGCTCTTGGGTTTCCACACTGAATGAGTTTTTATAGTTGTTCGAGTCGTTGATGGAGAAGCATTAACAACTTTAGAGGCTAAAGTAACTATGGTCTCGGAGCCTGCTGGGAGGATGTCGATCATCGCGCCTGATGGAGGTCCTTTCACAGCCATGACTTGACTCATTCCTATAGTGAAGTTGGTAAACCTTAGTGACTGCTTGGCTTGCTAAATGTGGTAAAGCCAGTTTTTACCACTTAAGGTGGGTTGGTATTCACATGTCACCCTCAAATATGGTGGTTTCTCATTGCGACCACATTACCATGTAATATAATCACCCATGTTTTTTTTTCAGAGGATCTATAAGGCAAATGAGCAGTGTTTGAAGCCCCGGTTGGTTGATGATGATATAATATGATAGAAAATACCCACCAAATCTAACCAATATAATATTTTGGGGATTCTCACAGTCCACGAACGGGGGAATCCCGAAAAAAAATCCAAGCAGTATTGGCCCGAAATACCAGTCATAAGGGCTTATAATCCCACAAAAATGGAATGTATAATCATGTATAATAGTTGAAATATATCGACCCCTGAGCCCCGCCATGTATAGCATGTGCAGGTAGGTCTAGTGTAGGCAGAATGTAGCTATGAGTACCAACATAATTCGGATTAGCTACGAATCCCAATTTAGTCCAACCAGTTACTTCTGATGCTTAATGTACAGAGTATCGTAACACACCTTACTAGAAGCGTTTGTAGGTGTATTTAGCGTAGCCAAGTTAGAGCCGGATACCCCTAACCTAACAATCACCAGGTCAGGGTCGTATGCCGTCGACGCATGGCTCAAGCGCCCTACTTGAAAAGGGCGTTTGGTTTTTCTCAATGGGTGGGTTACTGGAGGATCTGGTTTGTTCTGTTCGGTTCCCCCTTTTGAATGGTTATCAGCCGTAGGTGCTTTTGGGAAGTCTAATCCTCCGGTAACTTGGTTTAGGCCCCTGGTTTTCCGCACTTCCGTCACTGACCGTGCATGCCCTCAGATAGTTCCGAGAGGGTCGCTGCTGATTACAGCGCGACGCCGGAAACACCAGTAGAAGGAGCCAACGCTCTAGGGGAAGCAGAAGGTGTCGAGGATTTTAATCCACCAACTGCTGAACTGGGCGCCGCGGCCTCCCGAAACTGGGCGGATCTATCTGAGGATATTTTGTCGCCCGCGCCGCCTTTTGGTGAGGCACCCACTTCTGCAGATCGAGCCCAAGGACATCTGGCAGACGTGAAGGAAGAGCTACATCAGGAGACATCAAGCTCGGGTGTTGTGCCTTCAACATTTTTCTTGCCTGACGGGGTCGCTGACGAAAACGTCGCGACGGATTTTGCAAACCAAGCTTTTGACCCTGCCACAGTATCGAACATCCCCGAAGAAGTTCTTTCAGAGGCTGCCTTTACAGACTCAGGTCCAGTGGGGGAAGAAGGTCAGAACCGTCTTGCTTTTCCGTCGATCCTGTCAGAACAAGCGCAAGTTGAAGCAGCCGACAATCTTTCAGTGGAGGTCGCTGGTGGTAATACCGCGACGGACGAGGTTTCTGGTGAAATAACTTTTTCTGAAGTTTCTGGATTGGAAGGCGCCAATAACAGTCTGGAGCTTATCAAGCAGGAAGAAGATCAACAGACACTCGGTCCAGCCTCTACTGAAGCCGTCATTGAAGCGGCCAATCAAACTGAAGGTACTCCGACAACCAACTTAGGGCAAGACGCAGTTGTTGCAGCCGTTGTCAAAGCTGAAGTTGACCCCAAGAGTCCTGAAGCTGACACAACCAAAGCTGTCGCATCCGTCCATCCTGAGACCCAAAACTCAGGTCTTAGTGTAGAGCCAGTTGCAGTAGGATCCCAAGAAGCATCCGAACCAGCCTGTGCATCCGCTAAGCCTGAGGTCGTAGACGCAGCCGGTGTCGCGACTGAAACCCCAGGTGTAAGTGTAGACTCAGCCCCCATAGGAGCCCTAGAAGTTTCTAATCCAAAAGCTGAATCCACAGAACCTGGGGTCGCCGACACTTCCGCTGTCGCGACACCCAAAAGCCAATTAGACACATCTGATTTTGTTGCACCACCCACTAGCCCCAACCTAGTTGAGCCTGGTGTTGAACCTATTCGTACCGGTCACTCTCCCTCTGCACCGTCTTCAGGTACAAGACAGCGAACTCGCCAAAGGGGTTCGCGTGGTGGGCAGACCACAAGGAACCAGGAAGCCATCCGGGCCTGGTTTAGTGACTTGGATACTTTTAGGAATTGGTTGTATCAAAATACAGGGGGAAGGCCAAGCCGTGGTTTTTGGTTAGGTAGATATCCTTTGGACAGTGTTGACATTGACCAAAAGTGGCAAGTCGCTAACCACGAAGCCATTGTAGACTATTTGACCACAACCCAGTGTCTAATTTTAACATCTAATCTTTGGCCTGAATACGAAGAGTGGGCTCAACACAACGGTTTAGACCGAAGACCTGGTGTAGGACACGGCCGCCTCTCACTAGAAGCCAGATTGCTGCCTCCAAAACGTATCATTAATCTTAACATTTTGGGTAGTGAATTTCCTCCTCAAGAAAGTTGGGATTATTATAATAGATACGTAGGCCCCAACGCTCCCGCGAGAGCCAAAGCTCGGGCCGCTGCCCCGGCTTCGGCTGGTGGTGCGGCGCCTGTGCGACCTCCAGAACCCAAAGAGCCGCCCAAGGCTGCACAGCAGCCGAAGGTGCCAGCACCTGCCTGGCAGCCCACATTGCGTTCTGCAGATCGAGTTGTACAGCAGTCCGAGCCCGGTAGTGTCCACGAATCGTCGTCCACCCGTTCGCTGCCAAAGCAATCGCGAGGGGTCGTTGCTCCCAACGAGCGCGACGCAACAGTAGTTTCTTCTGAGGGTTCCGATATTGCTCCACCAACTGTAGCAGTCCCAAAAGTTCCCAAAGGTAAACCTGTTGTTTCAAAGCCCTCGCCACCACCACCAAAGCAGCCGCAAGGGGTCGCTGTTCCCAAAGAACGCGACGCAACAGCCATTGCATCCGAGGGTTCCAGTGGTGCTCCAGTAGGTGTAGCCACTCCGAAAGTCCCTAAGGTTCAGCCTGTTGCGAAACCTTTGCAGCCGCCAAAACACCAGCAAGGGGTCGCTGTTCCCAAAGAACACGACACGACAGTGATTGCAGCCAAAGCATCCGGTAGTGCTCCATCCAGTGCAGCCGTGCCTGAAGCTCCAAAAGCTGATCCTGTTGTAAATCCCTCGCCAAAATCTAATAAACCCAAAGGGGTCGTTGTTCCCGAAGCACACGACACATCAGCCATTGCGCAAAAGGTTTTAGATACTACC